AGCAGACAAAACAGTTTGAAAAAAATCAGACACAAGACACTGTGGATGTCGACAACTAGAGTTGACTTAACTCTTTGTGTTTCCCAGATTCTCTTTTTTAAGACAATTTTCAGAAACTTCTTAAGGGTTGTAGGACGCTCGGAATCAAAGGATTTTGGAAATTTCATTTCACCTGAGATCTGATTATGTCAGAATTAGTCAGAATTTCCATGTTTGCCCAGTAAGTCATCCCTATAACATCCACATACCCTATGAGAGCAGAGGGGGTCTCATTACGTACTTGGTCTTAACACATACTACAGTATATTTTCTAGCTCGCACCACAGACAATTCACGGCAATGGTAAAGCAAACATTTTTTTTCAATAAAAATGAAAATAGCCTCTGAAAATAGCCTCTGCTGTACCTTGAAAAACAATGAACTAGGAGGCAGGTGTGAGAGAGCAAGGTGATCAACTACCATGCTTTTGGTCGGAGTACCAATAATATATATTACCAATAGGCTACCTAGACTGGCATCCTGTTAAGGGTATACAATGCCTTGTGCCCGTTGCTTGCAAGGATAGGCTGGATATAGGCTACTACATAATTTCAGCGTTTAATGTTGGAGAATTCTTCTCACCTCGGTGGGACAATTATACACTGAGACAAATCTGGTTACACCAGTAATCTTCACAATTATAAAAGACACATTGTGCACCTAAATTAGAGGATTTAACAGGACAAGCCACATTGGAGCGAGAGGCCTTGAAAATTTCCTGTGCAAGGACAGACGGAGTCCTTCAACCTGCTCTAAGCTGTCTGTGCTGCAGGATACGCAGGTGCAAATGAATTGCGTGTCCTACTGTATCCTTTACAACGAATTACCTGTCTTATCTGCCTCTCTCCTGGGAATTAAGCATCACTGGAACAAAACAGTAGGAGGTCTGAACCCATTTGCCTTTATGCAGAGTTCTAGCAGGAAAGTGACATTGGTGCTCCACTCCCTACCCATTGTTGAAACAGTGCTTATCTCGGCACGCAGGAGTCAGGAGTGAAGATAACACTCCCCACAACTCCCTCCCTCCCTCCCAGTTTAGGATTTGAATTTTCCAGAGCCCACGCCCAAATAATTACCAGGCTTCGCCTGCTTTTCAGCTTGTTCTACTTTGTGATATCGCAAATGTATGAAGAGGCCGAGTGCGCAGGGTCACATCCGGTATGAGAAAAAAAGATGAACATATTTACAATGTTATTTCATTGAACCAATTTTCACTTTTTTATATCTATATATAATCCATCCACTTTCTAACTGATTCATCATATTCAGGGTTGCAGTGTATTTGGAACCTGTCCCAGCAAGCAACGGGAGCAAAGCAGGCAACACCGTAGGCAGGACGCCAGTCTATCACAGGGCACACAGACACACACCCCCACACCAGAGCCAGCTCTCCCAGAAGCCAATACTCCTACCAGCATGCCCTCATATAAATTACCAGTTGCAATAATGTACTATTGTGATAAGATCTGAATGTATTTATGATGTTGAGCTGTATATGTAATATATATACATACTTTTTTAAATGTCTTTGTACTGCAGGAAGAAACGCACATGAACGCAGGGAGAACATGCAAACTCCACACAGACAGCATCTCAGGGCCCTTGTTAATAATGCTGCAAGGCTGCAATGCTAAACACTGCACTGCTGTGTCATCCTTTTCATGTTTAAAATATATTCTAAAAAATACACCGACACCTTTTCCAAAGACAGTCTTTTACTATTCCATCACCGTGCTAGACTGTCCGGTTTTTCGGGAAACTGGGGTGGCCCGAATTTGTCTGTGAACAAGGAGAAGAGGTTCAGGGGACTCAGAAACGGGCAACAGGCCAGGCCATTCGCTTGAAGAGGTGCGACAGCTGTGGAAGAAACTGGAGAAGCAAGCAGGTGACATTTCCACCACCTGCCACACACACACACACCCAAGCACGCCAAGACATAACTCCCGAGCTGTGAAATGGTTTTGTTGTTGGAATTCGTCAGGATGTTGTCCGATGCGGAAACAACAGCAGACAATCCAATGAAATACCTCCAGCAAGACCAGCAGGCCAGGGCTAACAATAAATGTTGGTCCCGACTGTAAAGTGACACTTTGGCTCATTTCAGGCAGGTGGGAACATGTCTGTTTGAAGAGCTCAAACACTCTCTTCCCCTGAAGCCCAGTAGTCCTTCAGGCTGAAGTATTTGACAGCCACTCGTCAGTACAAACACAATATGGATATACAGATCTGCTCCTCCCTACGACAGAGAATACTGCTGCTGATAATGTTCAGGGTTCAAAATCAGAGGCTGGAGGTGGGATAGGGAGGCACACGGGAGAACTGCAGACCCCCTCCACACACACATACAAGGACATTCGGTGCTGCTGATGGAGAAGGACGGGTGAATTGCGTCCTTCAGCTAGTGGTTTAAAAACGGTTTAAATTGTTGCACAGAGTGGACAGCACCGGCTCATTCCGATTGTAAAGCTAAAGGCGTGTGAGCGCAACCGGCTCAACCATGAAGCGCAGCGGGAAAGCGTTTGTGTCGACAAAAACCCAGCGTGAGCACTCCTTTTATTTTCCGGGCCACGGAGAAGAAAAAAAAAAAAGGTAAAACAATAAAACCACAACACGGTCGACCAGGACGTTTCCATTGTGCCGCATCTTTGGGCTCCCGGAGAGCAGTGATGGACGGACGGCTTCCCCTCAATTCTCCGACCTACTGAGCCTAGACTGGTGTTTAAATTGGGAGACAGGGCTGTGAGTGACTTAAACCCCACCGGAACCGATATTTGAAGGCACGCAACGATTGTTTTGTACATTAACACTTAACTGGCCTTTTACACGGCGGGGGTGCCGGAGCATTGCGAGTGAGGTGTCTCGCTGAAGAGTTCAGTACCTGACCTGGAACTCCAACCCTTGACCTTCTGGTTGTCTGGCTGAGAGTCAAGATCCCTAGCAACTACTCCCAAGACAAACAATCACGGAGTTAAAAACGTGTCCCGGTCATTTTTCCGCTAGAGCAAACACGCACCTGTCTTCTCTTGCAACCCCACTGACATGCTGGCTAGTTCATGCCTTCGATGTTTTAAGCACAATGTACTACATCACCGTGACAGACGCAGAACATGAAAATCACATTTGACGTCACTCTTACGGTGTGCTGCTTTTTTAATACGGCACCGAAGTGGATTACTAAAACAAACAGCACGGCAGCCCTCTCTGCTTGCAGTATGTGGGGCAAAAAAAGGCTTTTTGCACGACCTGAGCGTCACCGAGCCGCCTGTGTTAGCATGTGTGCTGGACAGCCCCGATGTGAGAGGAAGGCTGATGGTGATGGTCAGCTGCCAGCGCCAGATTCCTTTTATTTTTTTGCACTTCAAACGTATTCAGTGGGTCATTCATTTGAGGGAGCACCACGTCAAAGGGGGATTATCTCGTTTTCGAGCCACTTCACGCGTACTGAGCATGAAAACGCTCAGAGTGCACAGGGCACGGGGTCACCCTGTCTCGGCGTGACATCCTGCTGTTGTGTGTGGGATCAGCCAGAACACACCAGACGAGCCCGTGTCGGCTGTCCTGTCTGGGAAGAGCTGGCTCGAAGCCGTTCACGCATCCACACGAGTAATAACTGACAGGTGGAATGAATTAAACCCGCACATTTATGCAATCACCCATCTCATTCAAAACACACCACCCATGTTTGAGGGATACACCAAAATGGTATTGGGAGGCCTTTGCCCGAGGTGTACATGTTGGCCCAATAAAGCCATAAAGCAAGATCTTGCAAACGATCTCCTCAAACCGATTTGACTTCTGTTGTTTTTTTTTTGTATTTGCGTTGGCCTAAATTGGATTTCTAGTTGATATCGACCCTGTGCCAATTTCTGAGTTAAAGAATGTAATTCAAATGCGGTAACAAACGTGCAACCGGAGAAACGTTCGCAGTAGCATCACAGCCATCTTATTGGAAAAGCCCAATCAGTATACGTTAGATTAAAACACATCATTCTGTACGCTGAAGTTAGATCAACGCACATTTGGATATTTTTGAAACCATGAACACAGCGGGAAAATAGGCAAACACGCCTAAACAATCATTAGCTCCCTTTTCCCCCCAGCAGCATCGGTCTCTTTGATAACTTTTACCTTTTTTACCTAATACTAAGCCTGCACCTAATTTCCTTCATAACCTACTTCAGTAGCCCTGTGAGAAACCTGGCAATTAAATATGAACTGTGCATGAATAAATACAACTTTAATTCACAGCAGGGGGTCTCAGCTCCCGGAGGGCTCACTGCCTCCCAGCTTTTCTCCTTTCATGTAACGCGTCTCGTACTTGGGTCTAATTAAGCAGCTATATGACTGTAATATGTCCAACCCAGTTTAAGTAAACTGCACCTTTCATAAGTGAATGGTCATGAACTATAAAAAAGGTCTTTAAAATCTAAAAAATCTGCTGTCAAAAGTAAAATATAATTGGATTAAGGCTGACAATGTGTCCAGTTGTCAGGCTGGATTGTTAAAATTGTGAGGTGGGGGAAAACAGGAAGGCCACCACGAACAAGTGGGAAACCCCCATTAGTACAAGTGAAACCAGGACCAGATTACCCGTTAGCCACTGCACCAGAATGACCTCTTCTCCACTCTTCGGAGGCCAGTTGTCATGCTCCACCCAGCACAGACCCCCCAGCGTCTTCTGAACTGGCCACACTGCAGGTCCTTCTCCCTGCAGTGACTTCATTCCAGGAAGAATCGCCAGAACCGAAAGACCCAATTGTCACTCCATATTGCGCGTGGCAGCTAGCCTGGGGGTTACTTGTGTTATTTTCCTACTTTATCTCATCTGATGCTGTTCCATTGGGACTCGCATGACCCTGGAAAACTAGACCACTTTAATCACTGCAGATGTGCAACCCAACACCAAGGAGCTGGTATTGTACAGACTAAATCTGCATTCAAGAGGATCTCCACATCAGCCGTGAACGTTTTGTTAAGTGCTTTATTAGAAAAAAAAAACGTTATGCAGAAAAACACCAAATGCATGTTTGTACAAGGCCTGGGGCAGTACAGGTCACTATATATACAGACAAAAAGCACGCCAACTTCTATTAAATAACATTGAGGCAAAAACAATAAGTGAAGACCTCTGTACAGAACGACTCAAGTCATGAACGAATGAAGAAGAAAGAGGAGGGGTGGGGAAGCCCCATATTCATCATTTGGGTTGAACGCGTGATCCATTATGCTGAGAGAATTAAAAGGCTGAATATCAAGGCTGTGAAAAATGGTTTATGGTTTATTCGGAACAGAGAAATTAATATCACTGAAGTTGGAGGTGGGGGGGGGGGAGGACTGTTTTGGCGCTGACAAATGACAACTGAACCAAACGCGAATGTACCAACGACAATCGGCCGTCTCCCTCTCAGGGGGGGGCAGCGCTCCGGCCTTTCCTGCTCTTGGCGCTGCGCACTTCCTCGATCAGGTCCTTCAGGTACTGGATCTCCTTGCTGATGGAGTCGGCCTTCTCCGCCAGCTCCTTGTTCCTCTTCTCCAGCTCGGCGCACTCCACGCCCAGCGCCTCCTGCTCGGCCCGTTTCTTCTGGCGGTAGCGGGTGGCCGCGGTCTTGTTCTGCTCCATCTTCTTCAGCTTCTTCTCCACCACCCTGGGGGCGCCGGCGGATTTGACCTTGCCGGTCAGCGCCGGCCCGTCCTGGGGGGCCGGGGAGGGGCAGGGGTAGGGCTGGGCCCTGGCCGAGCCCGCCGCCGCCGCCGGCGGGGGGGTGGGGCCGCCCTCGGGGCCGGGGCTGCGCCGCGGGGAGCCCCAGCCGGAGCCGATCCCGCTGTCGCTGTCCGAGGGGCAGCCGTCGTCCGGGGGTGGCGTCTCCCCCTTGGCGGACAGGACGAGGACGAGCTGGTTGGCGGACAGGGTCAGGACGGCCAGCTTCGGGGGGCCGGCGCCCAGCCTCTCGCACTCGGACACGTCCACCTCGCTGCCCAGCTCCAGGGTGAAGGTGGGCTCCGGAGGGGAAGGGGGGGACGCGGGCTCGTTCTTGATCTCGGGCTCCGCCGGGGCTAGGGGCTCCGATACGGACCCCCCCAGGGGGAGGGGGAGGGGCAGCAGGAGCTCAGGCAGGGCAACGGCCACGTCCTGCTGGGTGTCGGAGAGGACGAGGGGGCCGCCGGCGCCGACCGCGGGCAGGGGGTCGGGGAGAGGGAGGGGGTCCAGGTCGAGGTCCAGGTCGTTCTCCAAGGAAGCGATGAGCTCCTCCGGTGAGCTGGGAGGGTCGTCCGACGCGCAGGAGCCCATCAGGGAATCCAGGTCGAACTCGCTCAGGTCAATCTTCTCCGCCATCCAATCCATGCCGGAGAAGGCATCCTCCGACTCTGCGGAGCAAGGGAGACGAAACACAGGGGGGGGGATAAGCACTTCGGTTTTCATCGACTGGCGTGACTTTAAAAAAAGAGACAGCGCTGGGGATTTTTTTTAAAAATAAAAACCGCAGTTGTTTCTAAACGTCCACAGGTGGATGTTGCGATCTGACCAGCATGCAAGCGTTTGCCCCAACCCCAAAAATCTTCAAAACAAGACCAAGCCTCCCACCCCTGGGGGGGAAGAAAAAAAAGCCACCCACAAACCAGCTCACAACAGGAGAGGGCACCCCCTCATCCAAACGTCTGGATACAGATCTCTAGTGCTGAGGGAGCTCAGGAGATCAGGAGTCTAAGAACACGTTTGTATTGTAAGGTGCTTCGTACGGCAGACTCCGGTGCCGCCGGAGAAACCTCGGGACACAGCCGCGAGGAAAAGCGCGCAGGCCGGAGACGCAAAGCCTCACCTTTCCCGCTGCTCACAGCGGTGGCGTCCAGCAGCGTGCCAGTGGACAGCCAGTGGAGGCCCAGGTCATCATCAGCCTTGCCCAGAGAGGGGCAGCCGAAGAGAGAGGGGGAAGAGGGAGAGGAGGAGGGAGAGAGAGAGGCATCGGAGGGGGTCGAAGGCGCCCCCTCCAGAGGCTCTTCACCCAGGAGGGAGCCCAGGGAGTCAGCCGTCAGAAACGGCTGGTCCCACAGGGGCTCCTCCAGCCCCAGGCGGGCGCTCAGCGACAGCATGGCTGGTCAGCGCGGGGCAGAGCAACAAGGCGGGCAGAGAGAGGGGGGGCGCCGAGGGGTCTGCTGGTGACGGGGAGTCGAGCCGGTCTTCTGTGCTGTCGACTGCAGCAGTGCTGAGGGTTGCCTTGAGGGACCTGCAGGAGCAAGGGAGAGAGCGGTGAGGGGAAAAAAAAAGACGCCATCGAGGAAAACGATGTAGTGCGATTCACGGAAATTTACCAACGCCGAACAAAGCGAAGGGCCGCCTGTTGTGGGGCACATCTCCCCCCTCCATGTCTCCCCAATGTCCTCGAGCTTGCTCACAGTGACAGATCTTACTGGCTTCAGATTTAAACTGGTTCAAAGCTTTTGCAAGATCTGCTACTTCACATATTTGCAACCCAGAAAATATTGGGGGGGGGTATGTGTTTTTAATCTCTGGGGTACAAACTGAACAAAACCACCTTGTTGCCTCTCGTCTGATTTTGACGAAATCCCCCCCCTGGGTAATTACACTGTGGTACCCGTGTGTCCCACTCCTGGTTCGTTTTTCAGCATGACGCCCCAGCAACACGCCGGGGGGGGGGGGAGGAAAACCCCGCCCGCAAATGGAAACAAGCACACCAAATATGGGCATGGCCCGAGCGGGAGCCCCGCCCCTCTCGTCTTGTGACTCACGCCGCTGGCGCCCAGCCCGGCAGTTGCTACAGCAACCATTATTCCGGGAACCCGTGTGGGCGGGGCCAAAGATTCGGCGCCCTTCAATACCTCCCTCCCACAGAGAACCGGCTCCACTCGCTGTGGCGGATGAGCCGCAGACGTCGCCTTGCCCGTACAGAGGCATGCCTCTCCCACTCCCTAAAACAGACGCCATTTTCCTGGAGCTCCACTCCCTAGCGCTGGGGAAGTGCGGGGGACCAACGCCATTTTACTTGGCTGCCACGTTGCCAAAACCGATCGAATAGCGGGGACCGGCCGGAACGTGTCTAATTCATTCAACACGTCAAGCGAGCAGGAAAGACGAATGAACACGTTGTACGCTATTAACAAGGCAGAGCGCGTTTATAGGCCCATTTTAATGAGTTAAACGGGTCTCCCCCACTACAAATTCTACAGTAATCATTCGTCCATATGTTGATACTGAATGACCCCCATCTCCGAAATTATTGATGTTTAAACGTCATTACATTCTCCATACACCAGTCTTGGTTTACCCATTTAAAAAGAAATCGGATAACATAACCCGGACCTTCATTTTCAGGATCACCTCACTTAACACTGAAGTGGTTGCTTGGCAACCCGCAACTACACTTCCGACCTCCGCGGGTGAAGCAGAACAAAACATATACTCACGCCATGTTTGCCAAATATAAAGCCAGTGCAATTCGCCGCTGCACTGCCGGGTTTGCCGCTGCTGGTTGGGCCGCTGCACGCCGTTATACTGCCATTGCTGTGGGGTGGGGAGCGGGGCCGCTCGTGTCACGGATCTGAAAACGACTCTCTTCTTCTTGTTCTTCAAGGGCAGAAATGTGGCAGTTCGTCATCCGCCTCCGCTTATATAGCCACCGCCACGGCCGTGTGTCCTTCCGAGGGCGACTCATCCTTGGGCGCTCGTATCAGTCCGCCGCTCGTCCAATAGCGGAGCTCGGGCGCGCCGGGAAGTAGGGCGCTGGTGAAAACATTGGTCGGGCGCGACAGGCTCACGGCCGTGCTCATTCCACATGACAGTTTTAGAAGCCTTGAAGCGTGTGTGCTCGTAAACACACGCGGTTTTTTCTTTTAAAAAAGGAAAATCATGGAGGGCGTCGCGAGTTCACCTAAGATGAAGATAAACTTGAAAGGTTTAAATAGCAGTTTAGGTTCTCTGCCCCGCCCATTGAATGCAACCGACCTGGGTTGCCGTTTTTCTCATCGATTGTTCGTTCACACTGTTGGCGCTTTTTTTTTTGTTAAATTCTGCTGTGTTTCTTCCGCTTTTTAATTTCAGAATGCATTTGAACATGATCCCGCGTCCCTTTCTTTTTAGCGCAAAAATGACGTCACGTATGACGTATGCGCGGGCATAGATACATCCGGCAGGACCATAACAAAGCCCGACACACGGAAACCCAAACAAACGGGGACTCCCGTTATTTTGCAATACAGTTAACGATGTCAATTATTGATAGTTTTGAAAATCGAACGTGGCGTATCGAAAGCTCAGCTTACGTCACAATCCTTAAGGCTGCTGGTGTTTTTGTCGGCACTACTTTCTACAATGGAAGACCCGGTCACGCAGCGCTGTAGAACAACTCCTAACGCTGATTGGCTCCCGCGGCGGCGTTCACGTGTACTCTTCCCTCTCATTGGATGAGCTGACAGGAGCGGATGAGCGGGGAGGTGTGAGTCAGTGGTTAAGGTTGACGCGGTCAGAAGGGGAAAAAAAATCGATAAATTGAGAGAGAGGGATTTTTTTTGTTGTTAATGACGAGAAAGGGGCGGGAAAGCAATGTATTCATTAATACTACAAGATAATACTGACCTCATTTTTGAGAATTCTCTCAATTATATACCACGGTAATAAGATTAAAAGACATAGCATTTTATTTTCATTTAAAAAAAGGATGTATTAAACATATTTAGAGGTCTGTATGTGTTATCTGCTCTAGAACACAGCTGCGTTATGAAAATACATTTCTCTCCACGTGTTTTAGGTGTAGCGGTACTTATTCCCCGCAATTAGTCCATGTTAATCCAAATACTGATAACAATAGGTCTTGTTTATATTTTAAAGTCTTTTTGATGTACTTCATACAGTTTTTGAGCGTTTTAAAATGTTTCCTGAGATGTCGTGATAAGGCGGATACAATTTCGTATCCGATAGAGTACTAAATAAAACAACCTTTCGACAAATGATAACAAGGAAATTGTCCACATTAAATAAGAGGGAAAATACCCTTTATTTCACATCGTACCGTTCACGATACATAACCTAAAGGACCTCAGCTAGAGTACATAAAAAAAAAGGTGACATCGGATATTTCTGTCACGGAAATCACACCCGCCAGTTGACTAAAAGGGCGCCTGAAACGTTTGAAATTCTGGTTTCATTTCAAAATTCTGGTTGGAGATTTCGGCGCCTTTAAAAAATAAGGGAAAACCCTGCCTTTCCAAACGCGCCGTCGGAACCTGTCGATTGAGCCAAATTAACCGTGCAATGTGAATTGCCCTCCCCAAAATTGGAATAGTTATCGCAATTTCTCTCTGCTCCGCCGTGTACAAAGAACAATAAGCACTTTTCATCGCAGGCACTTCTTTCTGAACCATGATCATGTTTCTGAGCTATATATAGTACGGGAGGCTGGACTGTATAGACCCGATCTGGGGTACAGACTCGGGGCTATTAGAGGAAAGTGATATCTGTACCACCTGCTTCTCCTCATCGAAGACTGAAATCAGAGGACAGACAGGCTTTTCCGAGTCAGGGGGATGCCTCTATTTTGGACCTTGGCGCTGGGATACCAGGGCACTGAAAAAAAGGAGGTGATACAGGGATAAATATTAAATCCTTTGCCAGGCAAAAGAGGCGTAATTAAACGTGGGGTTGTCTGCATGCTGCACCCAGCGCCAGTTCGAGTCGTCGAGGGCTGGTGTTTGATGACTTCTTGTCTAGACACTGGACAGTGACCTTTCCCCGTCGCCCGACCGGTTAAAAAGAAATTGTGGACTTGTTTTTTTTTCCACGGACCTGGAGCAGAAGGGGCAGAAAAGCCGCCGGTCCTGGCCGGTAAAAAAAAAAAAAAATAATAATAATAATAATAATAATTGCTTACACTTATATAGCGCTTTTCTGGACACTCCACTCAAAGCGCTTTACAGGTAATGGGGATCCCCTCCACCAGCACCAATGTGCAGCCCCACCTGGATGATGCGACGGCAGCCATAGTGCACCAGTACTCTCCCCACACACCAGCTCTCAGTGGGGAGGAGAGCAGAGTGATGAAGCCAATTCATAGAGGGGGATTATTAGGAGGCCATGATTGGTAAGGGCCAATGGGGAAAAACCATTTTGTCTTGGGTTTGTAAGGAAGGACGGCCGCCCACACGGTCTGTCCGTGTTCATGAGCGACCGCCGGCGGTGTCCGGGATGAGGAGGCGGAGCGGGCCTGCTCGGCTGCGCGCTGTGTTGTGATGGTTAACGTGTTGCAACGGCAGCAACACACAAACCAGTCCTGGAGAAGGCGGAACTGGCTCACGATTGGTGCGCAGCAGCCGTGCCCCCACCCCACACACACACACGGAGGAGCAGGACGAAAACTGGATCCGTTTTTGCAGATCGGTCGGAGCCTGATGGGCAGGGAAAAAAATAGTCTGAAAACACCCTCCTTTGAAAAAAATAAGAAAAAGTCTTGGTCGCTATGGGTGCTGCCCGGCATATAAAAGGCGTGACTGGTTTGGCGTGTAAGATTATTTGGGAGTATAAAAAACAAACAAACAACTACCCCTGTTGAAATTAATCCTTTTCCAAGCAGTTTTAGCAGCTCCGAATCTGCATAGGCGTATAACAGCACCCTCTATAAACGGGTCCCCGGAACAGCATTGAAAACGCAATACAGCTCCCGCCGAGTCTGACAGACGTCATATCCAACATCAAAGGACCACCAACACAGAGAAAAGCCATCAGAACGCTTGGAAAGCAGACGTCACACGGCACACACAAACTTTGAGATTTAAGAATAGAGACATAAGGCAGCGAATCCCACTGTTTGCGTTAGAGTTAACGCACGTAATAATAATAACAATAATAATAATAATATTTATTATGTATTAATATTATTTATTATAATATTATTTACACTGTTTCCTCGTACAGTGGGGTGGCTCCTGACTAGGCAACCGGCTTTTTTATTTACATTTTATTTTTCTCAATGCCAGGAGCAAGATTACAATTACACCCTCCCCTCTTTCCTGGCCTCGAGAAACACGATCTGTAATCCAGATACACTGAAAAGGCAGAAGGGCTGTATCAGCCGGAAGAGGTCTGTAGCAATCTGTAACGGACTTGTAACACGATTTAGCAACCAAAAACGGCTATAGTTGTAACGAGCGGAACTAGAATGAAACGAGGCATTTGCTCTGCACTAGATGCGCAAACTCACAGACACATAGTACTTGGATTAATCTGATGATGATGATTTTCACTGTCACTGAACTTTTAATATTGTATGTATTCTGTATAATGCGAAAAATCCCGTTCAATAAGCATCTTGTTTATTTTTAGCATTCATTATAGTACCATCTTAAACAAGGCTTGATGCATTGCAGTTTTTTTGTGGCGTCCGAGGTTACGTGTAGATCATTTTTCAGTACATCCGAAGATAGTGAGCAGTGAACGTCCACAAGTACATCCTTTATCATGCGGGCCATGTTTACAGTCAGCGTGACTCATATTTAGAATGAAACTTCATGCCTGCATGTAGTGCTTTCTGAATTAATTTTCGTTTACAGCCGAAGGTTGCTGCTGTAAAAAGGCACCGTCCCTTTGATGAGACGTGAAACCGAGGTCCAGACTCGCCGTGGTCATTAAAAATCCCAGGGTGTTTCTTGAAGAGTAGGGGTGGTACCCCGGTGTCCTAGCTAAATTTCCCCCTGGTTTTACCAGTCATGGCCTCCTAATAACAACCATCTCTGAACTGGCCCCCTCACTCTGCTCTCCTCCCCACCGAGAGCTGGTGTGTGGGGAGCGGATTGGCGCATCATCCAGGTGGGGGCTACACACTGGAGGAGGGGAGTCCCCATTACCTGTAAAGCGCTTTGAGTGGAGTGTCCAGAAAAGCGCTATATAAGTATAAGCAATTATTATTAGAGCTGCTGTTCAGCCCTGAACTTAACTTGCAGTTAACCAGAGGTGCAGGGATGAGCTGAGACATGCAGAGAGCAATGTAGAAGGCAGAGGAATGTGAGAGAGAGATAGAGAGCACACACCCAGCACTGAGCAGCTACTGTATCTCACTGCAGCTCCTGCAATGCTTTTGACAGGAATATGCTGCAGTAACTAGTGTTGTTTTTAAATGCAATTAGTGAAGGAAACTGCGGAGGTCTTGTAAAGGTGGAACAGGGGAGACAGACGTGCCAGAGTCATGTGATGGGCTTGAGGGAGTCTCTGAGGTTTACGAGCAGGAATATGTTTGAGGGAAACACACACATACGGGCATGTTTATCTCTCTGTAGCTCAAAACAGCGTCATGATGGACATAAATGTTTTAAAAGACTAAAAACCTCTGTGCTTGAGCTCAAATTAATTTTAAAAATTTAGTCCGTTTTGACAATGGCTGAAGAACGTTTTTAGTTCTGAATTGCCCTGTAACAGAAGATGTTGGAATACATTTTTTTTTTCAAACCCTCTCAGTTTGGAACGGCCAGTTGTGTCTTCACGTCTGGGCACATGGCAATGATCCTGGTGCCTCAACGCTGGGAGCATGAGGGAACAGAGAGGTACCTGTGGGCTGGCCCCTTGAGACACTATACATCTGACTTGTCCTGCCAGCTCTTCAGCTGCGCCCAGTAGCTTCAGTGCCAGATGGAGGCGAGGCACATCACTGCAAGCCTTCAAGAGGCCCCCTGGACGTTGCAAGGACCTGTTTCATCGGGAACAGAGAGAGTCACGGGCACGTCTTTACTCCAAGGGTGGTGGGAGTGTGGAACAAGCTCCCCAGCCATGTTGTTGAAGTCAATACCTCTTGGTCATACCCATTCTCAATTTCCAATAACGTAGATGGGATGCATCACTGTTTCATTTCTCTGTAAAGCAGAATACTATATTTTCTAAATCATAAGATGCACTGAAACACCACAAAGGGGTCTCATATTGCTACTGAATTCAACCACACTTCAACATCACCGAAATGCTTAGGTTTATCCTAACCCTAGGTGGAGATCGAGAGGATCGAATAAAAATAAGCCACAATTTTCATTATTTATAAGCCACTAAATTTCTTTTATTTCATATTTAACTGAGAACCGCATATCTTTCGCGGGTGACAAACATGGGATATACAGTATTCTCTTCTCAATCCACCTTTATTATTATAGAGCAAAACAGAAATGAGAATATAATAAAAACCATTCTCCTGTGTAGTTTTCATTCCACATTTTTTTAGGCCTGCTTCCCGTTTTCCTTCCTGTCCTAGCTATGCATACTTTTGAAAGCTGTAGAATGTAAATCCTTTCCTGTACTGCAGGAGGATCTGAAAAGCACATGTTTGCTTTCTGAAATTAGTTCTTCATTTTCACAGAAACACTCAAAAGACACGTTTGCATCTGACAGCCATGACTTACGCAGCACATTTAACTGAAAATGTTGTACAGTTTGGCTCAATCGCACTTTTTGACCCGGTTAGCCATAAATATATTTACACCAAAGTATCTGGATGTTGTTCTTGTATTGTTGAGTGTTTTTTTCATTTTCCGTTTTACAGCAACACCAAGTACAATCTGTATTACTATAATTTGGGAATAAAATTGCAGTATGAGTCACTTGTACCAAGAGTTCGATATAGATCCTGCTCCTGTAAATGATTCAAATAGCACCAAGTCTTGCCGAGAAGAGATTTGGAACCATGATTTGAGAGCAAGTTTTGCAAGACAAACTTTTAAAATGACTTTCAGTTCTTTATATAATAACTTAAGGCCCACCCAGCTTTAAGAATCATGAAAATGAGAAACTTCAAAAGTATACACTGTATGAACAGAATATGAACCGAACAAAACATCTGAACCACAACCAAAATACTGATTAAAATACTGATTACCCTGCATCTCCTCAGCCCACTCCATTCTGGAGGTCCTCTGTTATTCTGGCTTAAATAAAAAGGTGAGATGGGGGCAGGAACAGACTGAACATTAGGCCTTAGAAAGTTAATACATTTCAATGTGGAAACAGCAGGTCACACGACCAGCAGACTGTCTGGGGACAATGTTTTCCAATGTTTCTGTCGCCCCCTGCTGGCTAGTCTGAAGATCGCATCTCTCCATCCTCTGCTCCGTAGAAAAAACAGGTCCAGTAGAAGCAGATCTAGCCTAGCCCTGGAGAGCCCCAATCCAACTAACCCCACAGGTTATCCTGAAGCTCCTGTTGCTGAGATTACAGACACTTGCAAGTAAATGATCAGTTCAGGAAGTTATTTTTCCTACCACGTGAAATCAGGTCGATGATGGTTAAACGTTCTGCAGACTGTGTTTCAAATCATCTCCAGGTTCCAGTTCAATTGCTACAGGTCTTATCGAAATAGATCATTTATTGTCTGCCTATGAACCATGCTGGGCAGGAGCTCTCCTGGAGCAGAGGTGGAACAAGAAGTCGCATTGATCTGTGAGTAGACAGATAAATGCACCTGCTTTGAATGTTAATAAAATGTCATCTTATTTAAACTGAAAACACATGGAAATCAGGGCGTTTTCAGCCCACAAAGACTTGTACACGTGTACATGGTCCTGCATTGTTGGGATCTGGAGCTTATCGCTCCTTCTACTGCCCAAACTGAACAAACACAATCCCTATCTCGTCTGCGTGCCACCCACGGCCACCTGCTTTTCCACCGTTTAGCTGGAGAGCAAGCTGAACTCCAGGGCCAGCTGGAAGACCGGTTGGGTTCATCTGAGCATTTGAGAATGCTGCCAGGTGATGCATTTCAAAGGAGAGCTCATGACTCCGATTCACGGCACAGGGATCTGCGTGTAAGGCTGCCATCCTTGGCCTTCCCTGTAGTGCTTCTAGCTTGCCAAACCCATTGGGTCTATTCACCTTCACCTCAGCCCTTAAGGACACTTGAATTTGCAGTTAAATTAACACTGGCCAGTTATTGCAGATTTACACTCTACAACTGTGATCTCCTGCTCAACTACTAATCAACTGTCTAAAATGTTGTCATGAGAATAACATCAAGAGGGTTACCAGCTGCAATGGAGACAATTTTGAGCAGGGGCTGAGACACCCCGTTGTAGAATATTTTCCATGGTGATGATGTCATTCAAATGTGCTGGATCTCTATTGTTGTTCCCACCCAACCAAGTAATAATTCCATGTTTAACCGTTTCTGAAATAATTCGACAAGTTTGATCAGCAAAAGTTGGCATGAATTTCCAAGAAGTAAAACAGCATAACTGGCCAAAAGCCACTTACACAGCACTCTACAAACCTTTACAACTCTAGAAACCTTTCCTGGAACCTTCTTTTCCAACTGACCGGGGTTTAAAAACAGAATGCACACAACGCCTACATGAAACAAGCAAAGGAACTGGTAACATAAAGACGAAAAATACTCATTTGTACAATTCATGTGTTTTCGTAGCAGTCAGTGCATAGTGTTCAATTCATATTGCAACACTAAAGTTAACGTTCTCAACACAGACTAGAACTGGTGTGTCTGACTACAATCTAGACAAGTACTATTCATTACGCATCTTTGCCTGTACAATAAATATAAAAATACTGAACTTGCTGTGCAAGATGCAAGGAGTTTAATAAAAAGCCCCCCCACTCACACAAACAAAACTCATTACTTGCAATCAAACTCTTTCAGGCACCAGCAATCATGCACTAAAATACAGTTTAAAACCTTCCAGACATGAACACTAAAATAGGAAAAAAAATCTTGCACCTGAATTGGACCCCCTCTTCAGAGGTACGTTGCAATCCTTAATTCCACAAATTGCAATGGGACACCTAATTGGAAGGCTGCAGGCAACTGGGAATTAGGGGATTACTTTTCTGAGTCCACAGCTTTGTTCAGGGGGGGGAAGACAGAAACTTCAGACTAATTCACAACTGAACACAAACCTGGAATGCAAGAGGCATAGCTCCCTGTCTCCATCAAACCCGGGGATCCCCTTGAGGGGAAGCCACATTGAAAATGAGGGTTCACTCGTGTCTTTTCCTATCAGTACCTGCGGTATCTGTTAGGCTTCATCTCTCCCTCCCACCCTCAATTCCAATCTGAAGAAAAGCGGGGCACCAAGCCTTCCTAGTCAATAAGACTAGAACCAGCCCAATTTCTGCCAGTGCCCCACATCAAGAATGGCAACACGTTCTTAAGCAGGACCTCAGAAGACAGATGAGTTTATGAGTGGAGGTGGATCCTTCTGAGCTTTATCTTTGGGTCATCGGCCACAGGCATCTTTGGCACAGTACGGAGTGGTATTCACTTCCTGCCCTTGTATCCTCCCTGCTTGCAGCAGACGTCTCTCGCTATGGGTCAAGTAAAACGCCGCAGGAGATAAGTAACACAGCGGGCTGCTGGAGAGGGGTGGGAGGAGAGGAATTCGAAGACTGTACACAAAACCCCCGTGTACATACACACCTGGCCTAGCTCGGCTCTCCAAGCTCTGGCATGCAAAGAGGTTCTCTACAGTTCTTTAAGATCACTTTATTGGCCATATACAATTTCTTGCATTAGGAATTCATCTTTTCGCAGACCCCAGCTTGCTCTCCATGAGACACAGACACACAGAAAGGGAGAGAGGCTTAGGGTCAGAGCGCAGGGTCAGCCATTGTACAGCATCCCTGGAGCAGTTGGGGTTAAGGGCCTTGCTCAGGGACCCAACGGAGTAGGATTTGAACCGGCAACCTTCCAGCCACGGGCGCAGATCCTCCGCCCATAGCCTTTCAATCACACAGTACAGTTGAGAACCTGGCTACCAACTATTTTAAGGTGCCAGGAAGAAGGACACCCTGCAGGAGTACAGGGATCGTATTTTCCGCCACAAATGGCAGGTTGGAATAATTGAACAACTTGATCAAGAGGCTGACTTGATTACAGAAGGAACAGCGGAACACTGCACATAACAGCAGAGATCTAGTGGCACCAGAAAGGGACATTTCTTCTAAATAAAAGCAAAGCCAGGCTCTCTTAATTCAGCATAACACCTCCTTGGTTCATTTAACCAATACTTCACCCTGTGCTGCAGCATATCTGTAGTAAGTGCTGATAATAAAAAAATAGTAGTAGTTGCCACCTGCCTCCGCAGAACAGCACATCAGTGGGAAACAAATGAAGCCCTTTCCTACCTATAAAACATTTTGCCATCTTTAAGTAGAAGCAGTGCTGTATCACTGAAAGGTATTTATTACTTCACTCTAATCATTGTCAGACAGATTTATTTTTCATTTGATTGTCTGGAAGTAACAAGTACAACAGAACAACGCACTGCAAATTAAAAAGCCCAGCTTTGGGCCTTCATCATAATCGCCTCCACAAGACATTTTAACACCCTCAATGAAAACCCTGTGCCCATAACCAGTGTGGCATTCCCTGCTGCTTTAAACGAACCCTCACTGTCTGCATAAGCACAGCTTTTCATGCTCTTTTGTGTAACAGCTCTCAGGTTTGAGTCACCCCCTAGTGCACCACGGCTTCATACACACCAGTCGGGCTTGTCCTTCGCCCTGCTAATTCACAGAGAGCCCGTGAAGTACGTTAGAAAATGACCAAGCGCACATATAATCTAGTCAACCGAAATGAATTTTATCAAATGAATGGAAGTAGGAAAGCAGAAGTAGTGCCATTTAGTGTACACTTCCGGCGATACCCGAACAAATACCCCTCTAACTCTACCAGCTGGTCAACACTCTTTTCCCCTGCAGGCGGCCGAACGAGACAAGCTCCCCTGCTGGAATATTAACACAGTATGCGGTTGACGTTTTGGGGGAGACGGCAGCCCTTTCGTTAAAGATCTCGCATCGGGCCGGAGGGGGTAGGGGAAGGGGCGCTAGGCAGTCCGCAGGAGGCCCTCGGGCTCGGAGAGGGCGCAGTAGAGAGTGTACCCCAGTTCGTCCACCTCCTCGGGGGTGAGCTCGGAGAGGAGGTTGACGTTGGGGGCCAGGGCGCAGGGGAGGCGGCCGGCTTCCAGATGGCCCACCAGCTCGCGCAGGAGCTGCAGGAAGCGGTCGGCGAGCGCGTCCTGGGCCCAGTCCCCCTCCCTCTCGCTCAGGAGGAGGATGGCGTTGGTCAGCTGGGCGGAGCTGAGCCTGTGGAGCGAGGGGGTCAGCTTGCACACGGCTTTGGCCACCTTGAGGCACAGGCCGCGGCAGCCCCCGTCCTCCTGATCCAGGCCGCGGAGGCGGGCCGTCTCGGCGGCGCGGAAGCTCTGCCGCCACAGGTTCTCGTAGCGCTCCGCCTGCCGGTGAGGCTTGGCGACCAGCGTGACGGCGTCGCCGATCACCACCAGCGGGAGGAAGTCGACGAAGAGCCGGCGGTCCACCTCGTACTGGACCTCCAGCGTGAGCGTCTCCGAGGGCACGACGGGCCTGATGACGTAATCCAGCGCGCTCCCGATGGCCGGCCAGTTGATCGAGCCGGCCACCACCCTGTCGAACGCTTCCAGGACCGTCTTCGGGGAAAGGTAACCCCCGACCACGCAGCGATCCCAGTAGCTTGAGCCCCTGGGGAAGTACTCCAGGTTCTCCCGTCGCACCAGCCAGAAGCCGGGCATGTTCATGATGGTGTCCTCCCCGGGGATGGGCGACCACAAGTTCTTCTCCAGGATCAGAGGGACCATCAGCTGGGCGTGGTCTGCCGTCACCACCTGCGGGACAGAGGCAAGGGATGAACTAACATACAGGCCGTGATTCAGGCTTGGGTGCTGCAAATTGCATAACATCCTGAAAGGTACTAAAATCAAGCCACAGGACCACCTCTGGACCAAGAGTGAAGCTCTTCACCAACCCAGAGAATACCTGGCTCTGTGTTTGCGGGCTTGTACCTCTTCACGGACCCCCAAATTTAGCCATGTGTGTCACTATTGCTCCCTAAGGCCCTGGAAGGAGGAAAGAGCAGTCCTACTGCATAGCCGTTTGATCAACTTCAGGTTCTTCAGAACGTAATCCAACACCAGGTCCGGGATACCCAGTAAATCCAAACGGACGGACGTCGTCCAAACCCGCAAAATTAAACGTGAAAAAGAACAAGCTCCTATGCAGCTGGAGACTCTTTTCCATCCCCTGATCCCTGGAGTCACTGAGGTCTCTCTCCCTCTGCGTCTCACTATGTGCAGAAGCGCACATTCAAGAGGAAGCCCTCCGCACAGCCCCCCCGGCAACTCGGCTAGCGTCCCACTCTTGCCTGCAGGTCGTCGTAGAGGCTCCCGCTGAGGTACATTTCCCGCAGGGGCATGTCGGGCATCTTGGCGTGCAGGAAGTTGCGCAGCTCCGCGCAGATGTCGACGGCGGCCCGCCGGGCCGTGGCCTGCTCCTCCTCGGGGATGGCCACCCGCCGCCGGTAGAACCCCCACAGCTTGTCCTGCAGCGAGAACCGCAGCCGCGCCTTCTGGAGGTCGGCTTTGCCTCCGCCGCGACCCCGCGACCCCGCCCGCCTCACCGCGTCTGAGAGGGAGGGAGCGAGCGAGCGAGCGAGCGAGGAAAAGAAGGGGAGAGTGGGAAGACGGGCAGATGGAGAGGGGGAGAGAAAAAACGGCAGGGCGGGAAAACAAGAGGTACGGGGAGGTGGCGAGGAAATGGGAAGAAAAGGGAGGGAGGAGCAGAGAGACACCAAGACGAAGAGATGGAGAGAAAGAGTGGAAGAGGGGACGAGATTAGCAGGGGACTTCCAAGTTGCTCAGCATATTTCAGATTTATCTGGAATACCAGTTTGGGTGGGATATTCCGCGTTCTGGATTGGGAATAACAACCCACTGCTGGGCGTATGGACCCTGAAGATCCAGAATTCTGGAAATACTGCACACAAGAGGTTGACGGACAACTAAAAGAAACCAAGTGCTATCCGACGAGATCAAATGGAATCTGCTACCAAGGACTGGGACTCGCAACTCCAAGACTAAAGCTGGGATATGTCAATCTTTAGATCTGGAACAAGTCACGATACAGTTCAGTAAAATCCCAAGAATGCCTCTGTGTATAGAGACAAGCCTCAGAAACTGGCGTGACTAAGGATCTTTACTGAAGATTGGAAAAACCTCAACTCATATGATGAGCACAAGATTCCGCAGCAAACCCTGGGGAAAAGCACATTACATTCCCATAATACTCTGATTTGTTCTGCTGTACACCGAACTGAATTGCCCTTGAATCATTTCCTCTATTTTCATATGATTTGCGGAGTTCCTTAAAATAAAACCGCACATTGTGGATCACTATGAACTATTCACATCGCCTTATCCCAAGCTTAATACACGGACAACACATTATTGCCCACTGCAGGTCCAGATATCTGCATCCAGCAGAGGACAGTTGCAGGTTTTCCCCAATATATACTGCTTATGTCACTCATCGCCTGCTTGGACTAAGAGCAAGTTATTTAACGTGTCACACTTGCTCCAAATTCAATGCAATAACAAGAAATTCAAACCCACACCAATCTGTAGTAAAACAGCTTAGTCACCACAGCTAAGGCGTAGATATAGCAGAAGCTGTGACTGGTAGCGTATGCACAGCATCTGTGTTTTTCAGCTGAGCTTGATTCAGTGTCACATTATTTTTTTTATTATGTGGGCATGTGGGTGTGTGCATATTTCCCTGTCTGTTCTCCCAGATCTTGGCTACGTGCAGCTAGATGAACACATTATTTAAAAGGAACAGGTAAAGGGCCTTCCCATGCTGAAAGGTAAATAAATGAAACATTTTGGCCACAGAGCCATCTTCAGGTGTCACCTGCAGCAGCACGGAATGACACCTTACTTGTTCCTGTGTAGCCGACACACCTTGACTTGGCTGCCTATTCAAAATCATAAAAAAAAAAACACGGTAGATGACAATTACACATCCACAGCCGCTTCCTGACAGTGTGGCATGCTGCCCGGCACATGTAATATCAGCCTGCTTTTTTCTTGGGTTGCTACAAACGCATACAACATTCTAGGACAAACACTTGTTGTCTGAATTTCACCCACTAAAGACTCGGAGCAACCATCCTCCGGCCTGCTTGTCTGTGAACTAAGAATTGTGAATTAAGCAAAGCAAAAAGTGTATATATATATACACGCTAAATACAGATGGGGAAAACATGGTGGAGGTGACAATGTTTTGGCAACATTAGGTTCCTAGGTCAAATTCAGGCTCTTACCATGTGGTGTTGCTTAACCTAATGTGTCATCATCAGATGAGACAACCAAGGTCCTGCTGCAAGTGATCTTACTGTGACTGTTAATGTTTGATTCTCCCTCTAATATCTACAAATACCTTTGGAAAAAATGCATCTGCACAACTCTGCATCATTACCCTAATATGGTACGAGAGTCGTCTCAGGATTTTAAACACGCTTACAACCTCATTTTCGAAACCTTCCGACTTGCAACAGAAGTTTATCAAGGTCCAGCAATACTTACATCACATGGAATGAAATTTTTGGACAGATTCACTGATATTCCAATGGCCACAAGTCAGTGTATGTCTAAGCCAGAGGCAAATATCAGGATAAAAAGGTATCCTATACTATAAAAAGATACTATAATATCAGTTATAGTCATCTTAACATGAATTGATTTTCTTTTTCAATAAAGTCAATTTCACCTTTTGACTTTATTGAAACTTACACAAAACGCTGGCTACCTCAGACTTCTTTGCAAAAGAAACTGAAAAATGTGCTTTTTGGCTGCCGATTACAGCAGAAAAAAACGAGAATGAACTCACAAAAGTGCAAAGATTGAAGGACGTTTTCTAGGACGCAATTTGAGGAGGAGGAGAGGGGGAGCTTACTGGGTTCAAACGCGTTGGGGCTCGTCGGTAAAGTCTGCAGCGAGCGGCTCGTGTTGGTTTTCATATCCTGGGTCAGCAACCGTGGCGACGACCCCAGCCAGCTAGGCTCCTCCCAGCTCCTTTTACCCGCTGGGTCCATCTTGGTGGGGCTGGCAGGGGCACTGATTGCCCGATCGTACATCTGAAAAAGTCCGAGGGCACACATTTCTATCTCCCCAGCTGCCAATCTGGTCCTCCCAGCTGCAGAAGGAAGTGAACAGGTGTACAAGCCACTTCCATCATTTTCAAAACGCAGAATTAAGGTATTTTCCATCTATCCATTTTTGAACAGTTTCTTCCAATTCAGGGTGGGAGGGGAGCCAGAGCCTATCCCGGTAAGCAACAGGCACAAGGCAGGGTACACCCTGGATGGGACACCAGTCCACTGCAGGACACACACTCACACACCCTGGATGGGACGCCAGTCCACTGCAGGACACACACTCACACACCCTGGATGGGACACCAGTTCACTGCAGGACGCACACAGACACACACTCACACACCCTGGATGGGACGCCAAACTACTACAGGACACACACAGACACACACTCACACACCAAGACCAATTAAAGCATCTCTTTAGTATGTGAACATGAACACGGGGAGAACATGCAAACTCCACACAGACAGCACCCCAGGTCCGGAAGAGCACCCAAGGCCCCAGCGCTAACCACTGCACCTCCCTGCCGCCCTCAAGACAGACCCGTACCCCCAGGCTGGGCGCTCACCCTCTTCACAGCCAGCGTGGCGATGCCCAGCATGGCCGCCCCCCCGACCCCCAGCACCAGCTTGGCGTTGGACAGCACGAAGTCTAGGGCCGTGCCCAGGCCGTTGTCATCCTTCTTCCCCTTCCGGTCGCCGCTCACCCCCGCCATCTCGCCCCGCCAGCCCAGGGACCTGCCGGAGAGGAGCCAAACCGCGTCACTGCCGGACACAGGCGCGTCCCGTCTCACTCTGCTCCTTCGCCAGCAACCATATCACCCTGCAACTCCCAGCTGGCAGCCCTCTGGAGCTCAGCAGGTGTGAGCCTGGTCAGTACCTGGAGGGGAGACTCCTGGGAAAAACTAAGGTTGCTGCTGGAAGAGGTGTTAGTGGGGCCAGCAGGGAGCGCTCACCCTGCAGTCTGTGTGGGCCCTAATGCCCCAGTATAGTGATGGGACACTGTACTATAAAAAGTCGCCATCCTTCAGATAAGATATAAAACCAAGTTCCTGACTCTCTGTGGTCATTAAAAATCCCAGGGTGTTTCTCGAAAACAGTAGGGTAGTGTAACCCCAGCGTCCTGCCTAAATTTCCCATTGGCCCTTACTAATCATGGCCTCCTAATAATCCCCATCTATGAACTGGCTATGAACTCTGATCTCCTCCCCACTGAGAGCTGGTGTGTGGGTGAGTGGACTGGTGCACTATGGCTGCCGTCGCATCATCCAGGTGGTGGTGGAGGGGATCCCCATTACCTGCAAAGTGCTTTGAATAGAGTGTCCAGAAAAGCGCTATAAAAGTGTAAGCAATTATTAATTCATCATTCTCAATTCGGGGGCACCCAGTCCTGGTCCTGGAGGGCCGGCATCTCTGCCTGTTTTCATTCTGACTCGGCACTGAAGCTAAACCAGCTGGTTACTGGCTTAACTGGACCATTTCGATGGCTTGTCCCGCCTCCTCCAAGTGCTGCTGCTTTAAAGGGACTTAGAAAACCTGCAGACCAGCCCTCCAAAACCAGGACTGGACTCCACTGCTTTAAACAGACGAACTCTGTGAACGTGTGAAAACAATTAGGTGCAAAATAGGGATGGAAAATCAGACAGGATCTGGATCTGTGTCGGATTTCATGAGTGACAGATGCTCAAAATGGTCAAGATCACTTCCACTGACCGGTGACAAACCAGTTAAAATTTACCACGAGGTAAAATTTCTTCTTGTTTTTCTGAAGACCGATTCTTAGGGCACTACGTCTGAGAACCAGTGGAGAAAATGTCCTTATTTTCGATAAACTGAAAGCATGTTCTATAGTTTTTCTGGTTTTCCTGCATATATGGCAACTTTATGAACATTATGCAATGCATCTATTTAATGTGGAAATGTGGTTTCTGGACAAGGTAACAAGTTTTTCCTACCTTACTGAGCTACAAGTTCCTTTCCAGGAGCTATTCACTTCCACTGGGCGTGCCTCAGCGTCTTCCAGAGACTCCTATCCAAGCAGACAGCTTTATATAAATCATATCGAGGACAGATCCTGAGTGTTAACAGTCCCGAAACAGAGGGGAAAAAAGGCACTGAGCTTAATGAGCGTCCGGCTCTAGGAGAGGAGCTTCAGTAAGTATAAAAACAAATAATCCATCCATGGGTTCTATACTTAAAGCTTATTTTAAGTCCTTTCTTATTAGAAGAAGGTTACAAAATACTTACAAAAATCAAAAGGAATAAAAAAAACACCGAAAGGTCCAGGCAGTTTGGTTCCAAAGACCTCGATAAAACTGAAAACCTGTGTACCAGCCTTGCAAATACTGGCTGTCATGAGCAAAACAAAAAACAGAGAGATGGTCCCAGAAGTGTATTTCTTTCCAGGCGCGGGCCTAGTATATCTCCTTGACAACTGAAACGTGTTCCCAAAGCATCATGGGTTCTCGGATGGCAAGGGCAGCTGGGATACGTCAGGCCCCGAACATGCAGAACCAGCCCCAGTCGCGTGGCCCCCCTTGGGCTCTCTACACCAGGCCGCCCAGCCGGCTGCTGAGGAAGAACTGGCCCCTCTGCAGGGCGCGCTCCTTGTCCCCGGGGGCCGTGAGGCCCTGGCAGCGGCGGAACTCCCGGGCCACCGCGCGCCGGTAGTAGTTGCGGTCGGTGTGCTGCAGGTGGTGCCCCGCGCGCAGCAGCGCTCTGTACAGCTCCAGGACCGCCGTGCGAGACCAGCCACCCATCGGCGTCGCGGCGGAGAGGCGAAGACCCAGAGAACAGACCCCACTCCTCTCCCCGACCTGCAACGGAGGCGCAGAATGAGGTCACTCGAAAGCAGGGTCACAGTCTCCCCGTTCCTAATCCACTTGAGCAAATCACTGGGTAA